ATCCTACAGGAATGGAGGAAATTCAAAACTTTCAAGTGATTGGACATCAAAATACCGCTACCAGGGATTCAATAATTTCAACAATGTTCACTTAAAACTTTGATTGCAAGCAAAATGTTTTATTTCAGTATTTAATATACTTTTTGCATTAAAAAAATGGCATTTATGATACAAAAACTTAAGTACTTTTTCACAATTATTTATATCTAAAAAAAAATTAACATTAAAAATCTTTTTAAGAGCTATGTAACTCATTTTTTTTCAGTTCAAGATTAATTTTCTCCTTCTCTTTAATCAGTTCCTTTATCTCGTTGTCTAATTTTGCTCCTTTCAAATGTTCCAACTCGGTTTCTGCCATTGTCTTCAAGACATTCAATTTTAAATTATAAACTTCTATTTTTTTTTTTGTTAAGCTCAATTATTTTACTTTCTTTATTTTGCTTATTTTGTATGTTTTCTTGTTTGCAAGAGTCTTGGGTACGAGAATCAATTTTTCTTTTTTTAGACCCAGCCAAGGGCCCAGCCAATAAACTGATACTAGGTTCAGGTTCACTATATTTTTGCTGATGTTCAATAGCAATTTCTCCCAACTCTCCCTCGATTATATTAGAGCTGTTTCTGCAGAAATCACAAACCATTCAGAACGAATTTCATTGGTTGAAAGCAGTCAGAAAACCAGTTTCATCCAATGAAATTCACTCTGACTAGTTTGTGATTTCTGCAGAAACAAACCTATTATTCCATGCCACACTGCTATTCAATGCTTCATCATCTTCAATCTGCGTAAGGTCTTCATCCATTTCTTCAGATTGTTCATCTTGATACACAATATATATATTTTCCTTATTTATGTCTGCACTGGTAGAGGGACTTGTCATGAAATCCAATTTCATTAGTTTTTTTTTCTCAGGTTCTTTTGATGTCGCAGACTTGTTGCTATCATATTCATTGGCGATAGTGAAGTAATTATCTTTCAAGAGCATTAAAATCTTTTCATCCAATATAGTGGTTTTGGGAATGAATGTCCCACCACCGGTTTTTAATAGATCTACCTAAAATTCAAAACAAGAGGTTTATTTTGTTCTAATTCTTTATCGTGAAAGTCAAATACCTTGTCCTCTGATTTGTGTTGTTTTGCAATCTTTTTCATTTGTTCGTAACAGCATTTTAATTGTTGTCCTGTTCTTGACCCAGTTGTTTGGATGGAGTTATATTCCCATGCCAATTTCTCCCAACAATCATTTTTTTGTTTGTTGAACACAGAGTTTGTTTTTTTATTCTCAATCACATTAGGATACTTTTCAACTAAGGAAATCAATGATTCTTTTTCCCTCTGCGTATAGTTCGCAGATCTCTTTTTCTCCATTTTATAGTTTATACTTATACCACAGCATACACTTATTTGTGATATTTCCTTCTTGAATTTAAAAATAAAATTCAAAAGAAAAATAACCCACATAGCAAAAGTTTATTTGATGCAGATTTTATGTATATTCACAATAAACCTGTGCATATACACAGAATCTCCATTTTTAATGTCAAGTATATTCATTTCATGTTTTACGGATATATATTTGTCACAAAATACATTATACATAGTATGTACATAAGGTATATACATCGCATATCCTGGATATTCGTGTATATTGGGGGCATATACTAGCCTAGATTTGATGGATATTCGCCTTATGTCTTTTATATACATTATACCTCCATTATATATTAAACGCGTTTATGCAATGAATATTCTTTTAGTGAATTCGTTTTTTTTAGCTGCGGCTTCCCATGACTGTCCGTGGCGGATTTTGGTTCAGATAGAATGCGTATGGAACAAATTAAACTGTAATTTAGTCATACACATTCTATCTGAACCGAATTCCGCTGACCGACAGTCCCAGGAAACCTCCGCTTTTGTGGTCGTTGTCAGATATATTATCCCTAGGACATTACATGCTCGGGATAATTTTATGACAATGAAAAGCACGTTGCTTTCTTACCTGTACTTCTTACCAGCCAGCGCAACTGAAAAAAAAATGGTCTTAAAATTATCAGGCATTTGATAGTCCCTTTCTCAGATACATACTTACTTGTAAAAAACGTCATGAGAGGAAGAAATTATAACGAACATTTTTTTGAGACCATTTATTTGTTTTTTTTTACATTTTACAAAAGAAAGATTCATTCATGAGAAAAACAATGTTCGGTTTACTTTCTGACAAATCTGCATTCATGCAATTCAGGCACTACCTGAAATCATGATTTTTCTGGCTCGAATTGCATCCATGCTAATTTCTCTTCCAGCAACTGGACAGAGTAAGCAAAATAATCATTATCAATATTATAAAAAAACCCAATTACATAATAATGAACTTTAGAATTTGATGTATAATAATAAACTAAAGATTTATGCTATGCGAATTTACATAGTATCATTTCCGTCCTCTTCTTCCTGATTTCCGTCCTCTTCTTCCTGATTTTCATTCCGTCTAAAAATAAATAAACTGAAGAAAATTTCATCTAAGAAAATAAATGAATATATTTTCTCATTTAAGGGCTCAACAACATATGAACAATACTAGGCAACAATATTTTCAAAACTAACCTTCTTCGCTTATCTTCCAGATGCATGCGATCCTTTGATCGCACCAACCATTTTTTTATGTAGACAATAATATCGGCTTCTGTGGCATTTTTAGTGTGATTGTTAGCTCGCACAGTATCTAGAAACGAAATAATATTTAGTATTACCAGACATATTACATATATTCTTACACATTGGCATACCTAAAATGACATTGGCTAACTTTAAACATTTGAATTTTCTCTTTCCTTTGGCTCCATCCCAACTGAATAAATTTCCAACTTCATTTGTTAACAATTTATACATCAATCGTTTTACAATTTCAGGTACATCACTGCCTCCAACTCGACTTAAATACTTTATCTAAAATATCAGAAATAATACATTTATCAACATAAATTAATATAAATTAATAAAGCTCACCATTTTCTTCATTTCAATTTCGTTATTCAAACGATTTTCAAGGCTTTTAAGTTTTTCAATGTCCAAGGGAAATAGATCAATAAATTCATTATCCAAATTTTGATCTAACTGGTTGATGTTATCACCACTTTCCAATTTTTCAATTGATGTTCCGAGTTCATTTATCTTCAAATTTAGTATTTTTAGTTTCCTTAAAACTTGCACCCTGAATTCTACACAAATGAAAGATTGAAATATTAGAAAAAAGTTAATTTTTGTCTACATAGAAACTCACCTGATGAATTAGCGTGCATTTGTTTTAATACTTTCAAAATTTTATCAGCAGAATTATCTACTGTAGCAGATTCTCCATGTTTTTGTGTTTCTGGCACGGACAAATTATCTTGATGAAACTTCAAATTTCTGAAATCGGGAAAAATGTTAATTTCAAAACATTCAAAAATGTTTATTCACCTTTCAGGAAGTACATCATTAGGTTCAGAGGTTCTGGTTGGCCGATTCAGGAAATTTTTCAGTTGTGATCCAGAAGAACTTCCTGAAAATTGATTAAAATTATTGTATTTTTTCTATGTTAATTATTATTTTATTGCTAATTTACTTTCTTCATCTGTTCTTCGCTCTGAACAATTTTGTATCTGGGAGGTTCTAAAAATTAAATTAGGAGTTGCATTCAACCTAAAACAATAATAATATACAGTAGGTACCTATAGTCTTCTAGAGATCTTGATCTCTTCTTGGTTTTTTTGTTTGGTTGACGATTTTCTTTTTCCATCAATGAACTAAAATAATTTATATTACTTCTGTGAAGCTAGAGCTCACTTTAGCATTACAAATACCTACCGGTTTTGTTGTGAAGACCTGCTGCCAATGCTTAACTGCTTTCGAGAAGTGTCTTCTTCGTAACTTGTATCGTTATCATCTAAAAAAAAACTATTCCATCAAAAATGAAATAGACTGTAATCTGTAATACCTTGTGCTTGAGAAAGTCCACTCGGTCCTGGGGTGCTAGCACCAAATTCTGGGAATGACAGAGAATTATCTGAAGAACCGCTTTCATCAGCTTCAGACGAACTATAATGAAGGTTCCTGTAGGTATGTGGTTTTCTTTTTCGCTTTCCCTTTCCAACATTTTCATTTTCATCGGTTGTTGACAATTTATCCTTCTCATATGCCTTATGGACCTTAGATAAAGCTTGTTTGTAATCCTCTAGAAATTCGAATTTTATTTTAACAACAAAAATATACAATAATTATAGGTTTTATCTTACCACATTTGGTTAAAATTTTTGCCTTAAAAGCCTTCCAGTCATTCTCTGGGAGTTCTTTGCGTTTGATCAACTTTTCGAGGGTATTCCTCTTTATTTTTGAAGGGGGCCAAAAGCATTCTCCACTCAGTTCTACATACCAAGAGGCTGGTACTGATACAGTATTCTCTTGTGTAAATACAACGACGTACCACATTTTGCAGTTATTTATGAAGAGTTTCGAAACAGTTAATCAAATGATTATACTATAGATAATCTATTAGATACATAGTATTAGTAACTTACAGATGTGACATTGGAAAACACACCAACTTTTTTTCAAATGGTAGGATTATAACTTTTTTTTTAATAGCGCTTATGTCCCAGGATCTCAACTCACTTCTTTTTTTTATGCAAAAAATTTTGACAAATGAAGATGGAAAGGGTTTAGAAAAAAAATCATTATCAGGTTTATACAGAAAACCAATTACATGAACTGCAGAGTTTGCATTTGTCGCAAAGTTTTTAATTTCTATAATTGAATCGTCATGTAGCTGTGCAAATCTATCACCAAATTTGTTGACGTTGATTAGAAAATGTTTTGCTGAAAATTTTTCATACTGCGGACTAGTCAAACCAGGTAGTAACGGTCCACTGCTATGCTCTATAGAAAATTTATTACTCAAAGATTCGATAACAACTGGATTAAAAAAAAAAAAATCTTCAGAAATTCTTTTAATCACTTGTATTGGCTGTGATGTCTTGCGAATTTTCTTTTTCAGTTGTTGCATGTAGTTTTCAAACGGAAAAGAGCTGAATTTGTCAAGATTTCCAAAACGAGAAACAAAATCAGTTATATGCAGAAGACTATGTACATTCAAAGATAAGAAACCCAAGCCGTAAACTTTTTCACAATTCATAATAAAATGTTCAAGCAAAGATGCTGCAAATTCAACAAAGTCTTTTCTTGTGGCAAGTTCATTGCTAACTAAAATTAAAGTAGCCATGGCTAGCATTAAAAATAAAGAGTAAATTTTTTTGGAGACAACATTTTTTAATACAATTGCTCCGGTATACAATAAAAGTAAACGAAATTCTGTAGCCTTATATCGCTTGACTTCAGTTATATTTCGAGTTTTTCTACGAGAAAATTCAAAAGGTATGAACTTTTTCAGGTATTTTAAATTTTTATTTAATAATAATACTTTTCGAGCGGGCAACTTGAAAGGTGGCTTTCCAAATATTAGCCCATATTTCTTCTGACAAAATATTCTTTTTGTGACTCCCAAAAGAATGCAATGCATATAATCGAGAGGGACGTCCTCAATTAGGTCAAATTTGGGAATATTTTCTAATAATGTATATCCTACATGATGCTCCTCTTGCTTTTTAGATCTAAAATCAGCATCAGTACGTTTCTGGTATTGAGTTTCGTTAAAACAGACAACACCATCATAAATAGTTCCTTCAGTGCAACATTTCGTGCACGAAAAATACCCGCTGTGGCCTTTAACCGCCAAAATATAGGATTTTGCAGTGGTGGGACTCCGTGCCATGTAGAATTCGACATATCGAATTCTATTGTCGCTTTCTACCATTGAAAGCGATTGTCGCTTTTATTTGCACTCTGTGCTGCTATCGCATACGATCGGCTATCTTCGGTATCTTTTTAAATAATCGTATTACCTGACCTAAAAACATCCACTTGTCATTTTTGTAAAATATTATGGAGGATTGGCTCGTGCAGTTCTTTCCTTGTTTATTTCATGCATTTGAAGAAGGAAGAAACTAGTCTGCGGATTTTCTGAACAGTTTTATTTAATTATTTTTCTAGGTTATGACGCTATTGTTTTGTTTAGATTTATTTTTGGTTCTGCTTCTAAATTGTGTTTATTTGTTATATTATATGAACTAGTAGTTGTCGATATCATTGATAAAGTATTATAATTCCAAGCTCCATCAAATTTTCGAAAATGAGGGTGAGATCTGAGCATTGGGAAGTGCTCCTAACTTTTTGTGAGAAAAACCCTCAGCTAGTTACGAATAGGTTCAGTGGTTTTAAGGGCAGAGCCAAGGGAACTGCTTTGTGGCAAAACATTGCCTCAAAGTTAAATAGTTTGGGATTTGGTGAGAAGAGTGTCGATGGATGGAGAAAGGTACGTTTTATAAATGGGACAACAATTGTTTGTCAGTATTCATTAGAGTTAGATAGCTGTACCTATCAATGGTGTGTGAAAGCAAAACCAACTTAGAATTTCACAATTTTAGACACTTACGGATTGGAAGAGCAAAACAAAAAACAAAGCTACAGCTCTGAAAAAAGAGCAACAACAGACTGGTGGTGGTCCACCTCAGCTACCTCCCTTAACACCATTCGAGGAGAGGTTGCTATTGCTAATGGGGACGAAAGCATTAGAAGGTGACGAGGCAGTGCCAGAGTTGGGTTTTGGAAAAGTAGGTTATATTCTGTTTTATTATTATTTTTAAAATTCCAGTCAAATGTAAAGTTTCTGTTAACTTATAGGTTCAGATTCCTGGGAAACCTATGTTAAAAAATAATATGCCGAAACCAATAATGGAAGTGAGTGAAATAGAAATTGCTGCATCATATGCATATGATCACGATTATGTTGAGAACGCAGAGGTTAGTACTTTTTTTTGTTTATAAAGTATGTCTAACAGTACTGCTGCTTTTAAAAGTTGTAGAATTTACTAATGCATTGTATTATTTATAGGTTGCAGTACCAAGTACCTCACAGAACACTACTTGTGCTGAAGACGTGCAAGACATATCGAGAGGTATAAAAAGAAAAATGGAACCACAAGGCAGCAAGAGGTCAAGACCATTCCGACGTCGAACAAATACCACAGTTGGCGTTTCTAATGATCTGTTAAATATAAACCAACAATCGGTTGAAGTTCTACAGAACATCAAAAAAAACACTGAATCACTGGCAAGCTCAGTTGAAAAAATAAGCAATAATACAGAAAGCATTGCCAATTCTCTAAAAGACATTGCTGACATAGTCAGAAATGCTTATTCAACAACATGAATTTTTTACCAATTTTTTTCTACTAGCAATAATAACTATTTATAGAAGGTGAAGGTTTTTTTTTTGTTTCTGTTAAATGCCAAAGTTTTTTTAGTTTGTAAAATGTGGTATTATTTTTAGGGCTGTGTTAAAATAAATAAAGGATATTATTATTAAGTTATTATTAAGTTTTGCAGTTGTGTTAATATTATAAGAAGTTCATGTAGTTTTTGAGGTAGAGGTTTTTTTTTTAATTTCTTATGGTTGTATTAAAGTTAGGTTTATTTAGTCTTCAACATTTGTTACAATTTTTTTATGGCTGTGTTAAATGCCGAAATTTATTTGATTTTGGTACATCTAGTTTTTGAGTTGCTTTACCTACTAAGTATTTCTTGTTTTGTTTGTATTAACTTCCAAAATACACGTTTTCAAGCTGTGATTCTATTTTTATTTGTACTCTTCTGTGATAAATGCAAAATTATTTATTAAATTTATTTCATGCACTTCAGGGATTGAAAGTACCCTTTTAATCCTTGTTTTCAGGGAGTAAAGTGGGGTCTTTAAGTCCCTGGGACTATATTTCACTTTATTTCCCAGGGATTAAATGAAACAGGGAATAAAAGGGTATTTTTAATCCCCAGGGATTGAAAGTGTACATACATCCCTTTAAAGTACATAAAATAGTGTATACACCTTAGGACTGAAGTTTTTTTAATTCCTTGACAAATTATAGAAACTTTTTGTCTCAGGATTAAAGGTACCACTTTAGTCCCTACTTGTATAATGTACTAATAAATTGGATTGGCACTTACTGAATAAATTCAAATGACACTTTGATGATTTAAATACTTATCTACATATCTACATGGAGGTGTCCATTTGAACATTGGTACATATATAGAAAAAAAAAACAAAAGATCAAAAAATAGACTTTTAGAGGTGAAGTACATGTATGAGTTCAAGATACCTATATACAGAAGTATTTATATGATGTCTTGAATTGATTCGAAACAAAAATTACTTTCACCTACTAGACACCATAAAAATAATAGAAACAACAGTGTTTATTTGTAGCTTGGCAAAAAGCTGTTGGGTAATAAAATAAATATATCAATTATAGAAAAAAATTTATTAGTGAAGAGTCTAAAGAGTAATATGTACAAAAAATAAAAATACAATCAAACCCTTATACAAAGGGTAGCTACTCAACTGAACCTAATTATATAAAAGCCTTATATTACCATCAAATTGAATAAAAAATAAGATAGGTACTAGACTTATAAAAAACAATACATACATCTAAATAATACTGAAAGCATCACTCGACACCAAAATGTATAAATTCCAATTATCAATATCAACATATCTACAATTAATTAAAAATACTTACCAATTAAATCTTAGCAAAATCAATTATAAAACATATCTGCAAATGCTCGTATTTAACAATACTTTAGGACTTTCAGGATATCAGATGTATAATTTAGAGAAAAATAGGGAACTTAGCACACAATTAAGGAAAAATATTACAAAATAATTATCGTAAATTCATACCTACTTATTATGCACAAACAAATAAAGTGTATCTATACCTACTATGTAAAATATCTTTGTATAAAGATTCTGCCTACTGATATGTCCATCTCCTCTAATCAGAGGGTTATTAGGAACATTGTTATGATCAACTGCAGGAGGTATTGGCAGGTCAAAATTTAAACCATCATTTAAACATATGTTGTGTAAAATACCGCAGGCATTAAAAATATTGCCAACTTTCTCCGGAGAATATCTCAATATTTTTGATAGACACAAAAATCTTCCTTTGAGAACTCCGAAACATCTCTCTACACAATTCCTAGCACGTATTTGGGCCTGGTTATATCTATGTTCAGGGGTATTTGGCAGGGCATTTCCAATAGGAGTCATTAACCAGGGTTCTAGCGGATACCCTGAATCTCCCAGCAACCAACTGTTTCTTTCTCCTAGTAAAAAAATGGGATAAGATGAGAAAAAAATTCAAATTTACTTGCAATTTATAATGAAAAACTCACCTCTTTGGTAATTCCGTTCCAATTCTTCTCTCACCCTTGAGTTTCTCCAGATATACGCGTCATGTGTAGCTCCAGCATATCTGCTATTTATGTTTAAAATTTTTAGATGATGATCACAAATCTGTAAGAAGAAATTGGAAATTGACAACAAAATAAAAATAAATATGTGCTAATATTCATTAAGCTGCTAGAAAGCTTTATTTGGTTGAACCTCGGGTTGAACACTAATAAACTGTAAAGGCAAAACTTACCAACTGAATATTTTTAGAGTGGTATCCCTTTCTGTTCAGATAATTATGCTCCTCAATAACTGGTCTTATGATTTCCACATGCGTGCAGTCTATAGCACCAATCACCCCAGGAAAATTGAATTCAGCCATAAATCCCTGTTTTATATCATTTTTTGCTGCCTGTGTTGTGGGAAACTGAATCCATTGTTCTGAGAATGTATTGATAATAGTTCTAGTAACCTCTTCCACGGCCCTAGACATGCTCTGCTGGGACATGGATATATCAAAGCCGCGACCAACAACCCTTTGATAGCTTCCTGTGGCAAAGAATCTCAAAACTCCAAAGAATTTGAGTATATTGGGAATCCCGACAGGATTATTTGTCTGTACCATATTAGGTCCAATTCCATTGTAAACATATTGAGCTACGTCTTTATTTAATCTGAAGAGTTCTCTAAACCGAATATCTTCAATTGAAAAAGGATCGCTTCCATCTCTCATCATACGCCTTTCTATGTTTTCGTTTCGAATATCTTCTAGCCTTTCCTCTTCTCTTGCTGCTATGATATTCACTGCGTTAATTGGCAACATATTTAAATAACTTTCAAACAAAATGGAGTAATTGATAATTTAAATTTAAATTTTAAAAACACTTTCGATTTAGAAGCACACGCATCGCAAAACAAACAACACAAATGACAAAACCAAAACATAAACAACAACCTCAAAAAATAAAAATGTCAATTATAGAAATTGTTAATACGCGTGCGCCATATAGATTTCTATACCAATCCGAATGTAGAAACAAGGCGACCAAAATAATCGCATCTTTTCGATATTGTCGCCGCACAGAGTGCCGAGTCTATAGAATCCTGTCGATATGTAGAATTCTACATGACACGGAGTCCCAGCACAGGCATATCACAAATAAGCATTTGTACTCGAAATGGGACAACAAAAGATCCTATTTTAATGCCATTGTTCACTAAACTTGAACTCTCTGACACAAAATCAAATATCAAATCATTTGCTGGGGGTTTTTGAGGACCCTGAAAAAGTGCCACCAAGAAAACTACTTTATCAAGTATGTCAACAGATTTAACTAAACATAATATGGGCCAAAAGGATTCTCCAGTACTTTTATAGAGGGGTAATCCATCAATATTAACAGCAATTTCAATTACACTGGTATCAGTGGGATTAATGTTGAATTTAATAAATAAATCATTTATTGCATTTTCAATTCCGAAATAAAAATAACTTCCTGAACCAAGTTTTTTACAATTCGTGTTTTTTTGCGTGCCCAGTAGAGTTCGGGGATCAACTGGAAGGTGTTTTAAATCTTCACTCGAACTTAATCGCAAAATCTTTAATAATTTTCCAAGAGAAGCTAGGGAAATATTTTCTTCAGTTGCCCAGCGACCTAATTGGCTATGAAAACTCAATTTTTTTTCATTGGAAATGGTGGTTAGTTTGTTTACTTTTTCTGCCTCCTTTGTTGTAGTGACTGAAAACATACTAGAATTCCCCTCGGAATTTTCTGAAATTACTTCATTCTCATCATAACAATTATTGTTAGATAGAAAATTCTCATCGTTACATTCATTTTCAGATTTACTCTCAGATTCACTGGAAATATGACATATTGACTCTGCATTATCTACTTTATTTTCTATTGCTAATAAAGGCGCAGATATTGCAGCATTTTGATGACTTGGTGAAGATATGGATAAGAAGAGTGTGTTTTCCAATGAAGAATCTATAAAAGACATGGAATCGCCAACATCTCTGGCAACTTTACGATATGCATTTCTTTTTAAACAATTTTTCGAATATATTTTTTTGTGGTTTTGTTGCATTGTTATTACCTTGTTGTTGATCTAGGAGTCTGCCAAAAAAAAACAAATATCTAATTTACTTCATATTCAAATATCGGGCAAGTTTTTAAATTCAACCAATAATGCTTATGCGCATTCATCGACGAGCATTTTTAAATGACCTGATGGAACTATTTTCCATTCAATACATAAAGCGCATAAATCACTTATGGAAAATGGTTGAGTTAAAAAACTCGACGTTATACATTATTTTTTTTAATACCAATCCACACAAACCAAATTATCTACTTTTGCCGCATTTTTTAATAGTATATTATGCAATGATGATGTAATGATAGCCATTAATACACGAGCATGTTGTAGGATACGAAACGAGCCGCAGGCGAGTTTCGTATATAACATGCGAGTGTATTAATGGCCATTACATGAGAGTTGCATACACTATTTTTTCTACTGCCATTGATAAAACTTATGATATTTAGATTTAGATATGTCAACATTATGCTTAACTTTGAATAGAGATTCATAATTGAGTAATCCATACAGTTGAAGGTTTCATTTTTTGTTGTAATTCTTCAAAATATACTATCAAAACATTTTCTGAGAAGGATGATGTGTTTTTGGTGTTTTCAATCCATAAATTGTCCATATAATTCTTTGTAAATTTTCTTGGACTTGTCCGGTAGTATATTATTACCTGCATTTGTCGCCCTTCCTGTAATTTCTGGAGGTGTTAGTGAAAATTCTTCGTTATCGCTCAATATTTCCATAATAATGCCTTCTCCCAAACTTAAGGTATTAACTTTTAATAACAATTTGAGGTATTTTTGTTTATAAAATTATTGTTTTTCGCTAAATTACCATGGAAAAGCTATAAACAGCGTACTGCCAACATTCAAAAAAAAAAATTCAAATTTTTTTAACTGATGGTGCCATCTATTGACAATGTATAATAATGAAAAAAGTAAAAATTCTTCCTTATCATTCATTATTTCCATAATAATTATTTTTTGTCCCAAACTTTAGGTAACTTTTAAACAATTCGGAGTCTTTCTTATAGTTATCAAAATAATTGTTTTATGCAAAATTACCGTTCAAAATGTTTAATATCTTAACTAGTGCTGCCATCTATCAACATTGTATAATATTAAAAATGAGTATTATAATGAAAATCTGTATCGTAATGAAGTTCATTATGATACAGATTTTAATCGTTTAATAGCGTATTATGAAATGTCAGTAGAAAAAATTATTTTCAATTTACTATCTTGTCATTATGACATGATTAGCATATGGCAACTGGGCCCATGCTAATTTTGATTTTTAATTATCTATTATGGATCATTAATAGTTACGATAAAATAATCAAAGTGACT